GACGCGGATCGTCTCGGACTTGGAGATGCAGTGGTCGTCGTCGTCGCAGCCGTCCTGGGACGAGTAGGTGATCGTGCTGCTGTAGGGGTTCCCGGAGTAGAGCGGCGTGTACTGGATGATCGTGAAGGAGCGGTTGTTCTTGGAATAGGGATTCATGTCCTCCGGGCCCATGAGCGTCCCTGACACGATGGGGTAGGGCCGCTCGTGCTGGGGCCAGACGAAGTCCCAGTCCTCGAGGTTCGGCGAGCGCGCCTTGTATGCGGCGGCGGCGTCCGCGTCCCAGGCGGCGCGCGCGTCGTCCTTGATGCCCCTCGGGGCGAAGATCGCCTCGGAGATGACCTCCTTCCAGACGTCCTCGAGGAGCTCGTCCTTCTCGAAGAGCTTGCTGAGGCCCTTGGCGTAGACGTTCTTGAGGAAGTCGTAGGTCGTCGCGTCGGCCATGCATCCCTCTGGCAAGTGCGCGATGGCCGCGAGCGTCAGATTCCCGGGCGCGACGTACGGGCAGAGGAGCGCGTCGTCGTCGCCGCCCTGGTCGTACGTGAGCGCCGAGACGAACCACGCGCCGCCGCTGACGCCGGACGCGTACCTCACCCCGTCGAAGAGGCCGAGTGCCCGCATCGCCTGGGTCTGACCGACCGCGGCCGCGTACGCGCGAGTGCCGCCGCCGCTGAAGCCGACGCCGACGCTCGGCCTCGTCCTGATCACGTCGAGGCTCGCCTCGGGCCACGCGTAGTCTGTGCCGATGTTCCTCCACGCCGTCGCGTTCAGCAAAAACGTCTTCGAGCACGCGTCGAAATCGATCGCGGCGATCGAGTTCCGGTCGCACATCGACGTCATCGACTCCGATGCGCAGCACTCCTTGGTGCACGTGTTCCTGGGCGAATGCGTCTCGTGGCACGTGTTCGTGCTCGAGCAATACTCGCACGTGTTCAGCTTCGCGACGCTGTGGTCGAGGCACGCCTCTGGGTCCGCGATCTCATCGCACTTGAGCGCGCCGGGGCTGTTCTTGCAGGCCTCGGAGTCGATCTTCGACGCGTCGTCGAAGTCGCACGTCGAAGTCTTGGATTTCGACGCACAACACGTATCACTGCACGAGTTCAAAGGCGAATGCGTCTCGTGGCACTGCCCCTCGGAGACACACCATTCGCACGTGTAAAATACCACCGTGCCTTTGTGGTTCAGGCAGCCCGTCGCATCCTTGAAATCCTGGCAGACCTGAAGCCCCGACACCGCAAAAGCCAGACGCATCAGTATCGTGCCTCGCCACAATGTCGCGAAAAAGGCCATCGTGATCGGTGAACCCGTACTACGATGCGACGAGAGGCGCAGCGCTTTCGGGCGCCGTGGGGCGCCGCAGCCCGTCGAGGGAGCCCGGCGTTGGCAAAGATGGCGTCAAGATGCCGAAGCGACGACAAACTTTATTAAAGAAAACCTCGCATTTAGACGCCG